CCCCAGCCAGCTTTGCTGGCTGGGGAATTCTGGGAGTTGAAGTCCACCAGGCTTAAAGTTGCCACGGTTGGAGACCCCTGCCTTAGATCGTTAAAAAACCTGATTAAAACTCTAAACTGCGATATTGAAACCTTATTTATTTATATTATTTATGTGCTTCTTTCTTCCCAGAGTCCGGGGCTGCCGTTTGTGATTTCTTCTTGAAGGCGGCGTGTGGGAAAGGTAAGCTGCGGCTGCAGAGATATTGGAAGACCGAAAGAGAGGAGAGGAAGGTCTGTGGAGATTCTCCATCATTCAGTTCTTGGTTGTTTGTCCCAAAGGAGCCTTTTTTTTGCCCCCCCCCCCCCCAAGAGGCAACTGGACTTTCTGTTTTGTTTTTTTTATTTGAAGTCGTTTCACTTCTCATCCCAGCAGCTTCTTCAGCTTCTTCAGATGACTGAGAATCTCCATAGACATTTAGCTAGGTGCCCTCAGTAGCTCTCTAAGAGGATGCAAATGACCAGCTGTCTGCAAGGAGTATAAATCCTTTCATTCCCCACCATCCAGTCGGAACTGAAGAAGCTCCTTGGATGAGGAGCGAAATGCTTTCAAAGAAAAACCAGAAAGTCCAGTTGCCTCTTGAAAAAAAGCCTCTTTGGCTCAACCATGACCTGGATGATGGAGAATCTCCATGGGCTTTTAACTATAGCATTTGGGATGGACACCCTTGGAATGGTGTGGGAGTAGGAATGGATTTCCAGAGGGAAAAATTGCAGACTACAGGAACCATTTGCACCATTCAGGTGACCCTGAGGACACGGATAAACCTCCAGGTGGCCTCAACGACCCTCTAAAAGGATGCAAATAACCAGCTGCCTGCAAGGAGAATAAATCCTTCCATTCCTCACCATTCAGTTGGAACTGAAGAAGCTCCTCGGATGAGAAGCGAAACGTCTTCAAGGAAATGTCTATGGGGACATAGACATTCCCCTAATGGTAGGGAATGGAAGAATTGATATTCCCTGAAGACAGTTGGTCATTTGCATCCTCTTAGAGAGCTGTTGAGGCCACCTAGCTAAGTGTCTGTGTTTTAAGTCTGCAAATCGAAGCAACATTATATCGTAAAGGCATTTTATATTGATTCCTTACCATATTTTATATCTCCTTTTTATTTTTCCTGGCAGGAGGGATGTGTCCTTTTCGGCACATCAGTGGTGAAAAAACAGTGGTTTGTAAACACTGGTTACGAGGCCTGTGCAAAAAAGGGGACCAGTGTGAATTCTTGCACGAGTATGACATGACCAAGATGCCAGAATGTTACTTCTATTCAAAATACGGTAAGGGCAAATGTAGTAATGAATTGCTGTTATTTAATCTTGACTTTTGCAGGTTTGTGTTTGTGCATTCTGTAGTGTATCACAGTGGCATCCGTCTGTGGAGATGCTCAGTCATCCAGGTTGTGGTTGTCTCAAATGTGCCTTTTTCAAGAGGCAACTGGACTTTGCTTTTCTTCGAAGACGTTTCGCTTCTCATCCAAGAAACTTCTTCAGCTCTGAAGAAAAACCAGAAACTCCAGTTGCCTCTTGAAAAAAAAAAAAAACCCTTTGGGACACAGTGGAATGCATTTCATCCATTGTACTGGCAAACTTTACAGCAATGAGTTTTACTGTCTCAAGTTGCAGTGACTTGAGAGGTCGATGGAAGAAATGAGATTTTGACCAGAAGTGCATTGGTTTGTAAGTTGTAAGTCTACTGGCTATTATTCTGTGCTTGATTAGGTATTCTGAACCTTAATGGAGTGTTAATGATTGCTGTGCATTCAGTCATGCTCTAATGGCGTGCTTGCTTTCACTTTTTGATATAATTCTTAATATTTAAATTACCAGTTTCTTTATACTCCTGTTCTGGAACGTATATGTGTGCAAGTTTAGCTCCTTGAGCTATGTTTTAAAAGGCTGGTGATGAAAGGTGTAGATGATGGTCATAAGGAAGCACCTGATTTTCTTAATATTTTGCAACTGTTCTTGGAATTGCATTGACGGCTTGGTGAAGGGCTGAAGCTGGTGACTCTGTTTGTTGCAGGGGAATGCAGCAACAAGGAGTGTCCATTCCTGCACATCGACCCAGAATCTAAAATCAAAGACTGCCCTTGGTATGACCGAGGTTTCTGTAAACACGGTAGGTATTCAACTTGTGACTGTGGATAATACAGACTTCTCGAGCAATGAAGCCAAGCTTGCAAAAGCCCCTGAATTGATATTTGGCTCCTTGGAAAACTTCCCTTCCCTTTTGAAGGAAAACTTACTTGTAGTTAGAGAGAACTATCTGAATTTGGGCTACTCTTGCTGTTTTGAAAACTTAAGCAATCTCAGTTTTGCCTTTGACGAGGTTAGTAAGGGGCGGGGGAGGTTTGTGTGTCTTGTACAATCCTTCTTCATTCCTTGCCTTCTATGTTGTAGGTCCTCTCTGCAGACACAGACACACACGGCGTGTTATTTGTGTGAATTACCTGGTAGGCTTCTGTCCAGAGGGCCCTGCGTGCAAATTCATGCAGTGAGTATTTTTCCCAGGTCTATCCTAAAATTCTCCACCTGATGTTATTAAGCCACAGAGGTGTGTGTCCTTTTCAAATTCTTCCTAAAATGTCATGCTTAAGTCTCATGCTGTCCCTCATTTGCCCTCTTTAAAACGTAGCTAACTACTAGAGTTCCTGTACCTATAAAGCACTCTATAGCATGAAAACAAAGCCACGTTTTCAAGAGGGTAATAATTCTGAAGCTAAGCTTAAAAGTGTTTCTGGGAGAGTTAAGATTCTAATAGCGGATTTCTTTTTTTATCAGTTTGGTCTCCCTATCTTTCCATACCCATATGCCCTTTTTCTTTTGACAAACAGTCCTCGGTTTGAACTTCCCATGGGAACGACAGAGCAGCCGCCCCTGCCGCCCCCAACGCAGCCACAACAAAAGGTAAGCCATCTTGCTTTTTCAGCTGCTTCGGTAGGAAATTCTTCAAGCTTGAAGATTCATCACCTTTGAATTTAACTTAGAGAGAACTGGGTCTGTTTGAATTGCGGGCCTTTGTTGATGCTAGAGATGCTTCTCCTGTATAATTTTTTTGTGGAGGGGGAAAGGAATGGAGCACTGACATTCTGGGGGGGGGGGGGGGGGTAATTTTATTGTGTGCTTTTAATTAAGGGCACTGCAAGCATCGGACCAAATCACAGATAATACCACAATCTAATTGCCTCAGGATTCTAACACTGTACAGGAAGATGGTGTTGTTGTTGTTATTGTTATCTAAGGGATAACAATAAAGAATAGAACATTGGAAATGTTTAATATAGACACATTTCTTCGCTTCTTGTCTCGAGCTTGCAGGATTTGGGGTTTGGTTGGTCTAGAGAAAATAAAGGCTAGGCGGGGACAGGATAGCAGCATTTTAATATCTGAGGGGCTGCCAGAAATTGGGGGGTGGGTGGGTGTCAACCTATTTCCCCAAGCACCTGAGGGCAGGACAAGAAACAATGGATGGAAATTAATCAGGGAGAGAAGCAATCTGGAACTAAGGAGAAACTTCCTCACAGTGAGGACAATTAAGCGGTGGAACTGCTTGCCACCAGAAGTTGTGGGTCATTGGAGGTTTTTTAAGAAGAGATTGTACCTCCACTTGTCTGTAACGGTATAGGGTCTCCTGCTTGAGCAGGGGGGTTGGACTAGAAGACCTCCAAGGTCCCTTCCAGCTCTATTCTGATTGATAGCTTTTGAGGTAGAGTTTGAAAGTCGCACCGTCATCGGTTAAAGGATGCTTTTGGGGGCGGGGGGCACATGGTAGGTCCCAGGACTGCAGATTTAGGGGGAAGTTGAAAGGATTCAGTGTTTGCCTTACACTGTAAGCTTGTTATGAGGCGCCTTTAGGGAGGTGTGGATTGCTTTTGGCGCAAGTCTGGGTCAATTCTCTTGCAATTCTTGCCTGAGGTCAGTAGAGAAAACAGCTGCTGAAGCGTAATACTTATTGTGTGGGCTGCTTCCCCTTTTCAGCAGAACAACAACGCACCATTGCAGAGGTCCTCCTCTCTCATCCAGCTGACCAGCCAGAAATCTTCCCCCAACCAACAGAGGACCCCACAGGTCATTGGGGTCATGCAGTCCCAAAACAACAGCATAGGGAACAGAGGCCCACGCCCCCTGGAGCAAGTCACCTGTTATAAGGTAAGGCGAGCTGCCTAAGGCTTGAGTGAACGGGAAATGGGCTGTGCAGGGGGAGGCCGATCTGTGCAGCTCCACTTGCCAACCCTGAATTCTGGAATTGACACGATGATATATGCGTGTCTTCACTCTTGGAACATGGGATATGCCCCCCACAATTCTGGAACGTGAAATTTGAGAAATGACACTCTCGTCTGCTTTGTGAGGAGTGAGAAAAGTATAAGATTTCCCCCTCTACTTCTACATGGTTTTAAGAAATCTGTAGAATTGTAACAGAATATAGACAGGCTATAGATAGGCTAAGAATAGAATGGGCTGGAAAGGGATAGCTGGAAATCAAGTTGTTTTGGTGGACCGTGTTGTATGATGTAGTTCTCTCTCTAGTAGTTGTGGCAGTGCCAAATTTAGCCACATGGATGTTAAGTTTTCATGCCCACCTACATGGTATGTAGTCTGTCCAAATGTAAACAATGGGATACAATAAAACAGCAGTCCATTGATTTGCACTATTAGATTATTATTTTGAAAGGCAGGTCAACGTTGCTGTTTCTAACTCTGGACTTTCAGAGTCCAATTGTGAATATCCAGATTAAAGGATTCATTAAAATCTCCCAGTTATATATGTACTTTGAGTAACAATGTTTTTGTCTTCTTTTTAGTGTGGTGAAAAAGGACATTATGCCAACAGATGTACCAAAGGACATTTGGCTTTCCTTAGTGGGCAATGAACCAACGGACTTTACAGCATTTTCATATACGTCTTTATGAGCCGAATTATTATCTCTAGTATCATCTTAAAAGACTGAACCACCTTTTTTTTATACCTGCACCAAAGGACTGGCCAGTGAAAGGATTACTTGATCTGCAAATACTTTTTTTGTTTTGGTATTTTCTTGTTTTAATTTTTACGGCTACAATGTAGTGCCTCTCCGTGTTCACAGCCTGAAGAAGCAAATGTAATACACAAGCCTTCTAAAAGCAAAACAATTGGGACAGGGGTTTTTGGTTCAAAAGGGTGGAGCTTCTTCAAAAATGTTTAGCCTGTTTTTTCAACAGTTCTTGGCAGAAGATGATAAATATGTGTCTGTGTGAGCAACTGCCCAGCTCTGCTTTGTTCTGAATCTTTGTGTTCCTTGTCTAGGCTGGGCTGAAGGCTAATTCAAGATGGAATTTTGTTTGTCAGGAGAAGTGGGTCCAGTTTGTATTTGTCTATATCTATAGTTTGTACTTTAAGGGGAAAAAAACAAGTTTTTTTAAAAAAATCATCATAATTAGTGGCTGAACAAATGCAGTCAGAAAACTCCAAATTATGAAAAGCAGTGTTAGGCTTATGGGAAAATCAAATCTTTCATTCTGAAGAAAGTGATCCCAACTATGTGCCACCACAATGCAGTTTTGCAGAGCACATTAAAAATGGTCAGAAGTTCCCTAGGAACATCATGTTCTGACATCCAAAATTCTTCAATCAGTTGAAAGCTTAAAAAAGAAAACAAGAAAAACGAATCCTGTTTTAGAAGCAAGCTACAGTTCTCTATAAAAACCCATTCTTTAAAAGATCCTCGCTGCAGAATATTTTGTCATGTCATTAAGTTGGTCTTGGAAGACTGTTATATACTGTAACTGGAAAGTCACAAAACAATTATTCTGAGAATTTGAATTGTAAAAGAGTAAAAACAACAACTGCCATTTCAAGAAAGATAAAGAATGTGATTAACATTTCAGATCTTGGTGAAGCTAGTATTAGTATCTTCCAATGCTTTTTATAATTTTAAAGAAAGGTCTTTTGTATTTTCACTCATCTGTCTTCTAACGTTTGAAATAAGTTCTACCAGACACAGATTGAATTATTTTATTATTGGTCTCCGTGTACATTTGATACTTTGGAAGAGAAATACAGAGGTCAGTTGCCTGTGGTTGACTGATCACAGCAAGAGAAACTTGTATTCTTGTCGGTGGAATCTTAGTGATACTTTCTCCAGCGTTCTTCCTCTAAATAATCAGAACCAATTTTAATTAGTTTGCAGTTTTCTTTAAAATTCTCAAATAGGAACTTTTATTTAAAACATTTGTATATGGCCAACAAAATCTATGAATAAGATAACTGAACGCTGCTACTCCACTGAGTGATTGGGGGAAAAAAAGGTGGAAGTACAATCTTAAAAGGGCAAGCTTATATTGCTAATTCTTGTTCTTGCTTGCAGTTACCAGATTTCTGGGAAAACAGATTTTATGTAGTACTCCTGGCAGAAGGTACTTTGTGGCTGCAGATAGTCCTCAACTTGTTCGTTTACTGACTGTTCAAAGTTACAACGGAACTGGAAAAAGTGATTTATGACTATTTTTCACACAACCGTTGCAGCATCCCATCAAAGGATCAGACTTCAGGTGCTTGTCAACTGACTCATATTTATGACGGTTGCAGGGTCATGCAATCCCCTTTTGCAACCTTCTGACAAGCCAAGTGAAGGGGGGAGGAGCCAGATTTACATAACAATTGTGTTACTAATTAACATCTGCAGTGATCCACTTAACTGGCAAGAAAAGTTGTAAAAATGGGACAAAACTCACTTAACAAATGTCTCATTTAGCAACAGAAACGAGACATTTGGGCTTGATTTTGGTCATATGCCAAGGACTTCCTATACAATTTCAGAAAAAGCCCTACTTGCCACCTGTTCTATTACATGAACACAGCTGGTCTGAAGTCAGGTGAAGTAGCGCGTAGAAGTCCTAGAAACTGAATTTGGCCAAGGAATTTAACTGCAGTGGGCAGAACTAAATAAACTCCTGGATCAATGCCTACCAGCCTCACAAACTCACACAATGCTCACCAAAAACCATGCCTTAGGACTGCCACAATTCTCTATTCATCAACAAAACCGTAATCCAGTGTGGCTTCGCTCTCCCCATGCAGCAAATGAGGAGGGCTGCGTGTTTGGCTATTTTATCTCACGCAGTTTCTCAAGTTTACTTGTGTCCGATATGAATCTGTCACCCCCGTCCACTCGCGGGAACCAGAACTTAAAAAACAAAACAAAAACCAACTGGTTTCAAACCCATGTTTTTTGTACGTGGTAAGTCGGTTCTGCTGTATCCAGGGAGCCCTTACGCCCAGCCAAAAACATTGACCCATTACAGAACCTTGGCATGCGTGAACATAATTAATTGGGGGGAAAAAAGACATTTTACTTACTGAGGTGATCATACACTAAGTAGTAGCTGAAAACCACATAAGCGGTTATTAACATGGCGGGACCGGTGATGCCACATCGCTTTGGCTCCCAGTATTTTGCGTAGAACCTGTTGTGGCCTAATCAAAGTGGAAACCCAATTTAGAAATCAGCAATGGCAGGTCATTCCTAAAAACTTGGGGGCTGAGCGGGAGAGAAAATATACATCTAGCAGCAACGAAAATAGATGGTCCTTGACTTAAAAGAGTTTGTTCAATGACCGTCCAGTTACAACGGCACCAAAAAAATTGAGCATTTTTCACACGGCCATTGTAACATCTCTATGGTCGCGTGATCAAAATTCAGGCACTTGGCAACTGATTCCTATTTATGACGGTTGCAGTGTCTCAATGTCATATGACCCCCTTTTGCAACCTGTCAAGCAAAGCCAATGGCAAGAAAGGTAAAAATGGGACAAAATTTAAATTTTGTAATTTTAAATTGTAAATCGAGAACTATCTGTAGTGGACAAAAAAGGCCAACCTGAAGCCACTGTTCAATTGAATTTATTTTTTTTTTACCAGAAAGTGATTATCAGTGTAAATGTAATAAGGCCATTCTGAAATGCTGCTTTCATGGAAATTCCAATTTGCATCTTGTAAATTTCTAAGGAATATTGCTCACACCCCCCATGGAACATTCCCCCCCCACAATACTAACCTCTCTTGCATGACTCCAGAAAAGCTCTGGGGGTGTAATTGAGCGATGCCAACCAGGTGGGCAGCTGACCGAGTTTCACATCCAGGAGCCTCAAATCTTTAATAGGTACTAAAAATACAAAAAAAAAAGGACCGCAAAACAGGATGGGAAGGAATGCAACATTTAACGAATTATCACCACAACAGACCCATGTAATTTACGAGTGTTTAAATCACAAGCAAAACTAAGCATTCCCTTCTTTTGTAACTAATCTCTCTGTTACATTATAGGAAGATGGAAATTAAAGTCAGTGAAGCCAGCCAGTTACATAGCTTTGCAGAGGACATGGGGGGCATAGAAATGTAGTAATAAAATAAATATATAAAATGTTGACCCAATCCTCTTTGCACCATGTAAAAAAGCAGCATATTTAAACTCGAAAAGTAGATTTAGGTCCCTTTTAGAGACAGGGAGAAAAAAGTTAGATCCTGAACCAGTTGTGGCTTAACCTCCTTCTCTCCACCCCAAGCCAACCTAGGAGGACAAATTTATTTTTTAGGAAATTTATATATATATATATATATTTTATATACTTTTCGTAAAAACCCTGCTTTTCTTTTTCTTCCAACTATTGCAAGTGGGAGTTGGGGGGTGGTGGTGACTGATTGATTGATTCCAGATTTTGTTCTATTGTACTTTATTATTTCATTCTTTTTGTTAGCAATATAAATTCAATTAAAATAGATATATATGCACACACACACGTATATATGTATGTCTATATGTGATATACACACACACACACACACACACACACACACACACACACATATATATATATATATATATATATATATATATATATATATATTTATTTATGGGTAGGAACAGCATCCCCCACCCCCGCATTGGACTCCAAAACCCATCAATCCCAGCCGGCCGGACTCATGGGTACTAACTCCCAAAACGCGTCCGGGTTGCCTCCCCCGGTTTATTTGGGAGGAAAGAGGCGACTTTCAGGCCTCCAGAAAGCCGAGGGGTCACCTTGGCTTCTCCCGCCCCCGGAGAAAGACTCACCGGGTGGTTCCGCCATCTTGCGGCCGCTAAAGCGATCTGCCCGCAAAGGTTGCCGGGAAGAGATAGGCTGCGCAGGCGCAAAAGAGGCGCTAGGAAAGAGGTCGTTGTCTTCAGGGAGCTCCTGGGCGGAGCTAGATGAGGGGCGGGGCTTCCGCAGCTGGGGAGGGCGGTGCCAGGGTGGTTGCAATGTTGTTTTTTTCTTCCATTCGTGTTTTAATAGAATTAATTTAATAGCATTTTAGACTTAAACCACTTAATACTTTAATTTAAGAGCCTTATAATAGCGTTTGCATTCTCTTCCTCTGCCAGCTCCCCACTTTTAAAATTGGTGGAGGGGATCTTCCAGGAGTTTTGTCCATGCGGACAAAAAAAATTATCCTTTATTTCTTTTTAATCCTTTAAACTTTATTTAAACCTTATTTAAAAACTGATAATTTTAAAATTATCATTCTTTTATCCTTTATCATATTTTTTATCCTTCTTTTGCGGGGTCTGCGTTGGACTGTTCGATATTAAGACACTCCAGTCTTGCTTGCAAAAATTTATCAGCCGCTAAATGGCACCCAAGAGACACCAAAAAGTCTAATTTTTCTACCATCTAGCAGTTACCTCAGGTAGTTCTACTGGCCTAATTGTTCCCAATTCATGGCTGCAGAAAATAGGTAGTCCTTGGCTTACAACGATTTGTTTAGCGACTGCTCAAAGTTAGACTGGCACTGAAAAAGGACCGTTTTTCGCAGTTACGACCTTTCCAGTATTCCCCAGGATCATATGATCTAAATTCAGATGCTTGGCAACTGTTTCATATTTATGACGGTTAGGTACGTTACGACTTCTGACCGGCAAAGTCAATGGTGAAAGCCAGATTCACAAAACCACCAGGTTGCTAACTCAACAATTGCAGGGGTTTGCTTAACAACTTAAGGTCATAAAATGGGATCAAACTCACTTAACCAGAGTCTCACTGAACAGCAGAATTTTCGGGCTCAGTTGAGGTGGTAAACCAAGGACTACCTGTAGATGCAGGTCATCTTTTCCTTCTTTTCCACCTGGCTGCCCTGAAAATGACACGAATGGGTGCGTGAAGTCCCTTAGGAGTCCTGCGTCCAAAAACAAACCCAAATCCTGCCCGTTTCCGACAAGCGAAGTCAATGATGGGGGCTGGATTCCTTTAATGACTGCAGTGATTCACATAACAACGGTGGCAAAAAGCCATAAAGTTAGATCCAACTTGCTTAGTGACAGACTTTCTGGTCCCAGTTTTTGGTCATAAATCAAGAACTAGCTGTGATTGCCACAAGCAGCCATTTCTAAAAAGACCAGAAGGTGTCAGCCTTGTTTAGCAGAGCAATCTCTATTCAGAAATAATTGTCCTTATTGGCTGAATAATCAACTAGCCATACCTTTAAAACAGGGATGGACGGACGGACAGACGGACGGACAGACAGATGGACAGACAGACAGACAAACGGACGGATGGACGGACAGATGGACGGACAGACAGATGGATGGACAGACAGACAGAAAGACGGACAGACAGACAAATGGACGGACGGACGGACAGACGGATGGATGGACGGACGGACAGACAAAAACCTGGAAGTCTTTGAAGTGATACAAATACTGCAAACCACCCCACCCCAAATAATTCAATTCTAGACGAAGCAGAATGACACATTAACAGAGTTGGAAGGGACCTTGTAGATCATGTAGTCCAACCCCCTTCCCCCCACCCAAGCAGGAGACCCTCCAAGCACTTCTAACAAACGGCAGCCCAATCTCTTCTTGAAAGCCTCCAGGGATGAAGCTCCCACCACTTCCTACAGCAAGTAGACGGTTCCCTGGGAACGTGAATAATGAGGTTAAAGCTTATATATTTGAGATCACGTGACGTGAAGGCAACCATCCTTAGGGAAGACTCTGATGCTAAGAAAAATGGAAGGTGCTTGAATAAGAGGTGGCAGATGTTTCTCCTAGGCCGTGATGGGATTCAAACATTTTTACGACTGGTTCTGTGGGTGTACCCTGGTGGGCGTGGCTTGGCGGGCGTGGCAGGGGAAGGATACTGCAAAATCCCCCTTCCCTCCCCACCCCACTAACCTGCTTTCCAGCTCCGTTCTCCTGGGCAGGGCAACCAAAGAAGACGCAGCCGATCAGCTGGGACTCAATGGGAGGCAGAGAATAGATGGGGTTGGCGGGGCCAGTCAGAGGTGGGATTTGCCGGTTCTCCAAACTACTCCAAATTTCCGCTACCGGTTCTCTAGAACCGGTCAGAACTGGCTGAGTCCCACCTCTGCTTCTAGGGATGTGAGCCATTGTCTACAAGGACGCAGAGAAGCATCTGCTGGCACCAACCATTGTCCCTCGAGTCAAAAGACTCTGAAGTGGTGGAAAGAATAAAAATAACAAAAACCACAATTTCCATCAGGGCTGGCCAGCCTCTCCCCATGACCTGTGTGCTAGCCTCTTCTCCCCTTTCCAGAATCCTTTGGGTCTCTAGCATGGTTGGTTTGTTTTGGTGGTTTTGTTTTGCAATGCGGGGTTAGAGGTTTTCCAGCAAAGCAGGAACACACTGGCTTAACTGCAAATCTACCTCTTTCTCCCTGAAATGTTACCTATTCTGCATAAGAATCTCAGTTGTCTGGGAGGTCAAGAGGCAGAAGAAATGTTTCCCGCTGATCGATGTGATCTTTCGAGACATTTGGAAATCCATAATCCCCCCCCCAGTGTGTTATAAAAGCGCCTGGAAACGAAGAACGGACCTCATTTTGCAGAGATGGTCTTTTATAGGAATTCTCTCCCCCCCCTCTCTCTCTCTCTTTCCTTCTCTCTCCCTCCCTCCCTCCCTCTCTCTTTCTCTGTATGCAGGAGGTGGGGTGCCTTCTTTTTCTCCCCTCTCGAAGCTGGCTGGAGGCATAATTTTACATTAATCCATCTTCCTTTCAGAAGAGCCATCTCCGTTGCCTGAAAATATAGTTATTTTCAGGCAGATCCACTTCTGAGCCGCTATGTTTAGCAGCATCTATTTCTGTTGGATCGGGGGGGCAGGGGAGGGAATAACTTTATTGCTAAAATAATAAAATAAATAAAATAAACAAATCCAAGGGTTTCATGCAATTCTGTTTCATCTGCTGGCGGTCTTTGTTTTGTGACATCAGATTCCTCGGGGCAGGTGAGCCGCCTTAAGAAAAGGCACAGAATGGATGAAGTCAAGCTCAAACGGCGGACAATAGCCGTGGCTCTCTGGGTCCCCGGTAGAGATTCCATTAGAGGGAGCCTTGTGATTGTGGTGGCATTTCAAAGCAGGAGGCTGAAGCTTAATCGTTCGGATTTCTTTCACGGCCATCCTGCCAGCAACAATGCCCATTGTCAAGTCTGGAGATGGCAACCTTTCCGTTTTGATCGTCCACCTTTCTAGAGTGCCTAAGAATTCCTACGGGAAGGGACATAACTCCAGATCAGCCACTTTTTTAAAGGACTGGTGGCTCTTTTCTTTCCTTTCCTTTCCTTTCCTTTCCTTTCCTTTCCTTTCCTTTCCTTTCCTTTCCTTTCCTTCCTTCCTTCCTTCCTTCCTTCCTTCCTTCCTTCCTTCCTTCCTTCCTTCTTTCTTTCTTTCTTTCTTTCTTTCTTTCTTTCTTTCTTTCTTTCTTTCTTTCTTTCTTTCTTTCTTTCTTTCTTTCTTTCTCTCCCCTTCCTATCTATCTGTCTATCTATCTATCTATCTATCTATCTATCTATCTATCTATCTATCTATCTACATCCATCCACCTATCCACCCACTGTATGTATGTATGTATGTGTGTATCTATCTATCTATCTATCTATCTATCTATCTATCTATCTATCTATCTATCTATCTATCTATCTATCTATCTATCTAATCTATTATCTGTTTATCTAACCTCTTATCTATCTATTTATTATCTCATCCATCCATCCATCCTATGTATGTATGTGTCTGTCTGTCTGCCTGCCTGCCTGCCTGTCTGTCTATGAACCCATAGCCTTTGTCGTCATCCTCCTCCCCCTCGCCCCCCCCCCCCCCCCCATTTCTATCTGATAGGGGCTCTCCTCCGGGATTTCTTCTGAACTTTGGACTTCCCTTCGGTGCCCTCCCTATCGCCCAGGGAGATGGGCAAAAGGAACAGGCTGATTAGAAGAGAGAGAAGGATCTGATAACATTTTGTTCCACCCTCCATGCCTACTGTGACATTTCAATCTGTTTTAAACATCTGTTATGTTGTTCCAGGAGCTTCATATTCAGTTGCAGCCATGGCGAGAGCTATTTTAATCTCTAATCATTGCTCCCTCCCTCCTTCCCTCTCTTTCCCTCTCTCCCCTCCTCCTTCTCTTTTTCCTTCTCCTTTCTCTCTCCTTCTCCTTTCTCCCTTTTCCTCTGTTATATCACTCTTTTCCTTCGCCTTTTCCTTCCTTCCTTCCTTCCTTCCTTCCTTCCCTCCTCCTCCTCCCTCCACACTTCCATCTGCTCTCCTGCTCCCATCTCTTCAAGAAAACCCCAACTTTGGATACTGTCTGAAAAAGTTGGGAAGAGGACACCTCAATCAACTGGCGTGTAAACTTCATCCTCTCAGGGGCGTTTATGAATGAGGCACAAGACAGGAGCAGGGCTGCTTTTCCCAACAGCTAGAAAATAACTTCATTGCGCAAGACGTTTCGGTGCCTGAAGAAAGAACAAGAAGGCCTTCCTCCTCCAAACCCAGCCCTGGAAGACGAGCAGACTGGTGGCTGTTTCCTATTTCCAGGGTATCCAAACATTACAGGAAACACTCGAAACGCCGACATGTGGGGCTGTCCCTGCCATGAGACAAGTTGAACCAATTCCATCGGTGGCAGATGCTTAGGAAACAGCCACGGAGTGTTGGTGTACAAAGCTGTGGAAGCTACTTAATCCCAAAGCCATTTCCTAATCTCCATCACTGTCCTCAGATGTCACGGGGGCGGGTGGGGGGTGGGAGAGGCACACGGGACAGGCTCCACGGGCAGTCGGAGTGACGTCTCCATCCGCCATGACACGCAGGTATGTTGCACTCCTCTTGCCTCCAACAACAAAACATTTTTGGGACAACACAGCCA